TTAAAATGTTGGTATTCTCTTTCTTTGATAAATGCTTGGTGGTTTGGGCTTTAACCATGTGGTTCCTGTAGCAGGACCTCGCAGTGCTGCCTCTGGGGGACGTTCCTGAGCCTCCAGCAGTGCTCAGGGATTCAAATATTCACCTTCTGCTCTAATAGTGTGAAGTAGAAATAGGAATATACGAAGCCATCAAGTTCGCTTTTCAAATTACTTGTGAAACTCTTGCACAATTAATTAGTAGCTGGAGAGTGCTGTGCTTTTAGAAGTTACTATTTAGGGTTTTTTCTTTTTTTTTTTAAATACCACCTATAGAAATACAAATGTGTGTGTGTGTGTGTGTGTATGTGTGTGTGTAACATTCTTAGCAGACAAAAAATTCTGGCCAAACTCAAGGCAGTATTTCAAGTGCAGCATTTGCATCACTCGCGTACAGATGCCGAATCTACTTGGTAGACTCCTTGGCTTGATGCTGCTTGTTAATTCTGCTCTTGATGGTCGTTTGCTGGCAGTTTAACTGATGTTCCTGTGCTGTGATGTCAGGTGCTTCACACAAATGGAGCTACATGATGAAATTGCCACAGTTCTGTTCTTTTCCTTTCATCAAACGCTGGTCTTCATCGTGTGCTGACCTTGGCTTTCCCTTTCAGACAGCAAAAGATATTCTGCTATTTAATTTTAATTTCCTTTCTAGGACTTAACCCAGCCTATTTTGTGATGTTTTATATTCCTCATTCCATTCCACGTATTTGACTTCTGTGATCTATCTTCCTTCTCAGTCTTCTTATTTTTTCCCTTTCTGCTGCTTGATTCTCTATTTAAACCCCTTTTTCTTTTATGCAAAATGTTCCACATAGCCTTCTACCTTTTTCTTAGAGAAATTCCGCTCCTTCCTGCTCAAGCTCTTCAGTCCATTTGACTTCATTTAGTAGCTCTCCTTATTTTTATACATTAAGCCAAATTTAAAAATAACATCAATATGATATTTTTGAACAAATTTTTTAATAAAATTGGAGCTTTGCTAAAAATACATTTTTCTCTCTTTCCCTGGCTCATTTCTTTTTTTCCCTAGAAGAGATTTAAAAAAAAAAAAAAAAAAAAAAAAGAATTAAAAAGCATGCTCCTGGAAACTAGTCCCCCTTGCCCTGAAGGCTGCTAAAATTATCGCAATTATTCAAACAGCCTTAGCTGTTGACAGAAGTTTTTGTTTGTTTTATATAGCCACCGTATTTCATTTAGAAACTACTAAAAATACAACCATTTTAGAGACCATCTGCTTTAAATGACAGTGCAGACTGGGGCTAAATATTTTATCTTCTTTTCTGTTTTGTTCCTCATCGGCCTTAAAACTGGTTGTGTGACCAACCCAACGTTCTAGGTTAAAAACTTGCTTTTCGGGCAGACTTTTCCACTTACATCCAACCCACACACGCACAGTCATGTCCCACAAGGGTGCATTCATCACTCATTCTTTGGCCTTTCTCTGTAGTGGTGAGAGGGAGCCGTATGGACAGCGCTGGCCCCAAGTGTGCATGCCAGGGCTGCAGGATCTGGGCAACACAGCTCATAGAATCCTTAAGGTTGGAAGGGACCTTTGGAGATGACATCTAGTCCAACCCTCCTGCACACGCAGGGTCACCCAGAGCATGTGGCACAGGGCTGCGTCCAAGTGGTCTTTGAAGATCTCCAAAGAAGGAGACTCCACAACCTCTCTGGGCAGCCTGTTCCAGGGCTCTGTCACCCTCACTGTCAAGAAATGTTTCCTTAAGTTCCTGTGGAACTTTTGGTGCCTCAGCTTGTGGCCGTTTCCTCTAGTCCTGTCGCTGGCCACCACTGAAAAGAGGCCGCCCCCTCCTCCCACTGCCTCCCTTGAGGTATTTATAGACACTGATCAGGTCCCCCCTCAGCCTCCTCTTCTCCAGGCTGAACAGGCCCAGCTCCCTCAGCCTTTGCTTATAGGGCAGATGTTCCAGGCCCCTGATGATCCTGCGCTGGACTCTCTCCAGCAGCTCCACATCCCTCTTGTCCTGAGGAGCCCAGACCTGGACACAGTCCTCCAGATGTGAAAGGGGCTTGCTGAAGGAACCTCAGGCTGGTGGGTTTAACTCCAGCTTTGAACGATACCTGGAGATAATTGATACCTGTTTTGCACACAAAAGAACCATGCCTGGTTTTGGAGATGTCTAAATAGGTCCGGTAGCAGTCCCTCTAGAGCAGGATACGTGATAGCAGAATTGGGGATTAATGAAACCACCAGACTGGTTTATATGTGGTGCATGGATGGAGAAAAGTGCTGCTCTTCAGACCCTTGGTCCTTGAGCAGGCTCATCTTTCAGCGATGTGGAGTCATCTAAGGGCCATTCAATAGCGTTTAACTTTTGTACTAAAAAGCAAACTGCCGCCGTCAGCATCTCCGAATCAGCTCATGGGTTGTATTTTCAGTGCCCCTCCAATGCCTCCTCTGCCCTGGAACAGGGCAAAGGAAGAAGAAGCTGAGCTGCTTACCGGGCTCCATGGTGGTGCTGTTGCACCTAATGATGGCTTTTTTTTTCGGTGTGAGTGGGAGGGTCAAAGAAATAGGCATATTATGGAGGGGGAAATTTCCTCTGGGGGAGAATTTGATGTTAAAAATTGTGCTACTTTTAAGTATTGTTACTCAGTCGAGTACAGTTGCTTTGAACTGTTGCGACTCATGGTCTTGCCATGTAGGCTGTTTTCTTCCGCTCTTTTGGACCCTCTCCAAAATACCAATGCCTGTACTTGGGGTCTAATATTGAAAATGAGAAAAAAAAATGCAGGTGGAGCTAGGATAATCTGCTTTCCCTCAGTATGTTTATTTATTTACTTTTACTTTATTTTCAGGAAAGCCTATTTGTTTCTTTGCAAACTGTGTTATAAATGAAGCGGGTCTAAGGTGCAGTGAGAACCTGTTAGCAGGTTGTACCTGCAGTTGCTACCTGGGTATCCTGGGCGAGAGAAGAGGCCTCAGGGAAGGCCAGCGCCTCAAATGGCGTCGCTTTGGTCGCTCGCCTCCCTAAGCGTGCGGCCTGCTCTTGGGCCTGTGCTCCTCCGTCTAAGTAGACTCAGTCTAAGTAAGCGATCAGCCAAATACCTGCCCATTAGCAGGCAGCTGGAGTGTGCCGGTGTCCTTGGCAATGGCTCCTTTGCCGTCGCGGTTGTGTGGAGCTGTCGGGTTTCACCAGAGGGGAGCCAAAGGGAGGGCGATGGCGCCGGAGGCCGCCCGGCGCCACCAGCAGCAGCTCCTGTGAAGCGGCAGCTCCCCGAGGCGCGGGCGGCTCGTGCTCCTCGGAGGGACACTCAATGCGTGCCCTTCTCCGTCGTTCCTGAGAGCTCTTTACATCCCAGTCGTGTGATCCGTAGCTCTTGCCCTGCTCCCCTGCTTAGGGAACTGCTTCCCCACATCTTGTTGTCCGCTCGCCGCCCCACTTGGCCTCTGAGGGCTCGCCAACATGCCTGGCCTTCCCGACACCTTTTACAACATTGTGGGACATTTTCTGAGGATACCTCCAGTGTTGGGATCTTTCTGAAGCTGTGTGACATGTCTCCATTAGGAGCTCGGCAGCAGTCTGCGTTGTCTGGAGCACGGCCAGTGGCACAGCAGATGTGTGATTTGTTAGCACATCTTCATGTTTCCTTTGTCATAAACACTTAATGTGAAATCTCATATTCATGAAATAACATCTGTAGGGTTTTTTTTTTTTACATTTCATATTCTGGATCCTTACAGAGAGACAACCAGAGTGATAACACTCCATCTGGCAAAGACTCTCTAAGAGACAATACCTCCGTTTCATAATAATTCATTATTTGCGTAAAACAAGGCTTGTTTCAGTGAAATGCCTTGGAGAACTGTTGTACTAAATGTGTGAAATGTATGATTGATTTTGTCTGAGATGGGCAGCAGTGCTGCTGAAAGCGTTAGCCAGACTGGGATTAATTCATCCACTGATGCACACTAGGCCTCAGTGCAGCAGAATCCTCCTAATTCAGGAAGGATAAACAATGATTAGAAATACTTTTTTGATACTAGAGATCTGAGATTTTCACCACTTTTGAGGACTAGGACGCGTCCCTCCCATCCCACCCCCTGGAGAGAGAAGTTCTCTCTCCCATGCAAAAAAAGGCGTCTCCTGCAGAGCGGTTCCTGAGGCACCAAGGCCAGAGCCATTTTCATTGTTACCCTTAGGCACAGCAGGGGAAGAAATCACCTGAAGTGACAAATTACTTCAAAATGCACTGGTGGTCATTGCAGAACGCCTGCTAAGCCTTGCTGAGTGCTCTTGGGTTGGGTTTTCATGTGGTGCTGGGGTGTTTCATGTATTGTAGGACTGTATCAAAGTCCAAAGACTGAGTCTGTTGTGTAGCTGCTTTAAATTGAGCGGTATTAATCATGGTTTAAAAGTAATCAGGTGTAATTGTGTAGTGTACGATTTTAATAATTATGTAATTGTGCAATTGTATAATTAATCTGTGTTTAGCAGGCCCCATACCTGTAAACAATAAGCCAAAAGACGAAATAGGTAATCATTTTCCCTGCAAGAGAGCAGCCTTTATAAATGCAAGATTGCAGTAGTTAAAAAGGCCTCTTTTGCAAAGTGCAGCTTTTAAGAGCAAACGATTTGGGATTTTGATTTTAGCACTCCTAAATTTAATTTTAAAAGAGAAAGTATAATGGTATCAGCATGTTTCTGTCTGTCTTTCCTTTTATTATTGTTTCATCATTCTTTTCTTATCCACAGTGCTTTAACCCTTGGAGACTTAATTCTGTGATGTTGTTCACTCCAAATATACTTCCTACAACATTTGCTTAGAGAAGGAGAGCATTAGCTGTATAACTGATTGAATATTGACTTTTAAAGAAACCGAAAATGTGAAGTTTTATTGCTTTGATAATTCTTTCTTCCTTGTTGGCCAAAGTGTGGTCACATTTATCCCCTAACAGCAGCAATGTTGCTGAATCTTTCGTGTTTGCTTTTGCACAGAGAGTTTGGATGGCGAGATCCAGAGCTTCCTGAAGTTATACAGATGTTGCAGCATCAGTTCCCTTCAGTACAGTCCAATGCCGCAGCTTACTTGCAGCACCTCTGTTTTGGAGACAATAAAATAAAAGCAGAGGTAAGATTTGTAAATATTGTGTTTTCCGTTGTGATGTTGCCTGTGAATTCTCATCATTTATTATTTATATGTACTTCAAAAAGAGTTACGAGTCTGGATCAAGTTTACTCAAGCTTTCAATTAGGTCGGGCATGGCCATCAGCGAGGATATAAATTGTAGAAAATATTGTTGCTGCTTGTCTTCAATGACTTGTTTGGACTGAATGTTTCTGTTTGCTTGCATACGACTGTGCCCATAGTGGTTCAGAGTAGCTAGTGGTGTATAGTTGTGATCTTGCTGAAGCTTATGACCTTATGCATGGGAACTTAAAAAAAAAAAAAGAGCTTGGAAACTGAAAAGAAATATAGGAAAAGAATTAAGCAGAATGATTCTGAATTAGAGCCTGCTTTCATGTATAATTGCATGAATAGAGATTAATTTCACTGAGTTTGCAGCTTGAGCTGTGATCTTGAAAATCTGTGCAGATTGCATGTGAAATGTAATTCAAAGGAGCAATACAGACTTTGTTCTGTACTTGTAGTTGATCTGTACTTCATGCTTGCCTGTTCCTTGTGGTTAATGGGACCAGTTCAGCTTTTGGCACAAGTTAAAACAGAAAGAAAGGTGCTCTGAGGGATCTGACAGACATACAGAAGTCAAATAAAATTGGACCAATTTGTTGGTGTGGTATCGAAGCAGTTGCCAGCCCCAGCTGCCTCCCTTGCCCTTCTTCTGCACGTGGCTGATCAGAGACATGCACAAAAGTCTGTGCCTGCAGTAGCATTTTTTGGACTGGTCTGTAGAGGTAAACTGAACTCAGGGTTTGCGGGTGGGTGTGTGTCAGGGTTGCAGCATGGTGCTGACTTGCTGCTGCTTTGTGCTTTCGTGCACTCAGCACTTGCTGCTGTTGATCTGAGCCATCCCATTTGGATGTCAGCCTTCGTAAGCTTCATCATCTGCCATCTGAGCTTGATCACTTCTTTCTTCCATCTTTGGGAATGCTGTAAAGTTGCCTTGGACTTATGAAACTTCAGTGAGATTTGTATAAAATACCTCCCCTTTTACTTGATAGGAATCCTCCTCAGTAGAATATAATTAACTAAAATAAAGATAGAAAATACAGCTCTGACTATGCATTTATAGGATGGATCCCTGACACCTTTTATGCTTTTACTGTGAGGTTTTGCTCTTTTGCTCCTTTAAAGCACTTTAATCTGTGACTGACTATGGAAAAACTACCTCTTGAAAAATTACCCTTCCCCATGATGAAGAAGAAATGGAAATGTTAATTCTATAGAAGACAACTATGAGAGAGAAATTCTGTCAAACCTACTTCAGACTCAGCAGAACAGAGTTTTGCTTTCTTTTTGTTCTTTTTTTCTTACCCATGTCTTGATTATTTTCTTTGTCACATGTTATTTCTAAAACACTTGTTGATTTGTGGTTTACTTCTGAGTTTGAAGGTGCTCTCAATGTCTCTTCATTGCCTCAGAAATGTCAAAGCCCTGATCAGTCTTTTATGGGGGAATTCTCTCTGTTCCACGAGATCTGCAGCTGCCCTTCTGTAACTTAACGGACTTTCAAAAAAGCCGGATAACTGTTTATGTGAAGATGCCCCGGGCTGGCTACCAAAGTGTCAGGAACCATTTACTTTTTCACAACAAAAAAAAACAAACAAAAGACCTTATGCAGTGAATCAAGTGCAGAGTTTTTGCTTTTCTTTCCCAGCTGTGAGTGTAGCAGAGTGTATCATTGCTGCGATGCCTAAGTGTGATAAATGGAGACAGTTGAAAGAGATGGAGATGTTAGTTCTTAAAAATGCTACTGTTTCTCACCTACTCAGAGAGCTAGTTTGAGTTTATCTAAAAATTGTGATTGTATTTGCTGTCTTCACCCAAAATTTTCCTCAACTGCCACTTCGGAGTCTCCTAAAGTATTGCAGGATGATGGTCCCTGCATCCCTTGTGGCTCTTCACATTCTCTCCTCTGATCTGCCTGGTGCTCAGGTGGCACAGCAGACATTAGGATGTCGTTGGGAGGGAAGGGGTTTTGACACGATGTTTGACAACAAATGAAGAGTGTGAGGTGGGAGCTCAGGCCTCTGCCACCAGGAGGCTGCGTGCAGGGCCAGTGCTGGGTGCCAGATAGCAATGGGCAGGCAGGTACAGGAAAGCAAAAGCAAAAAAAACCCTTCTAAAGTAGTCAGCAGAGAAGTTTTCTTCAAAAGAGAGTGTTTTGCTAAGCACGGGATTCATTCTTTTAAAGCAATTTCTGTTCTTGCAAAGCTCCTTCAGTGCTTTTTATGAGGCCACCAGATAGGGGGATGGAGTTGGGCAGTGTCACGGGGCTGCACCGCTCTGCCCTCACGGAAGGGGCCCGGCTGCCATCGGCTGCAAAGGTGTGACAGGCCCCAGAGATTGGCACCAGCAACCCCTCTCTGTAAGCTGGGGAATGAATTTGAGCCTTTTGAGCCACTTCAGCACGTGAAATTCTCACCTCAGGAAGGTTGTGCAGAGATGTCTCATGAAAAGGAACTACTGAACTGTCTCGGCTGTTGGCTCTCTGTGCATCCTTAGTAAGCCTGCTGCATGGGACAGTTTCTTCTCACTGTTTTGGAAAGCATTCCCATATACCCACTTAACGCAAGCTTAGAAGAAAAGAGAAGAAAAAATCCAGACATTATTGCATGGCAATGCAATATTAAAAATAGAGTGATTGAATGCTGAAAGTGTTCTTTTCTTTGTAGCTTGCTCAAAGCCATAATTCACATTCATTTTGTTATTGCTAGATTCAACCACATAGCGATGTTTCTGCACCTTCATTAGAGACTTGGTTAAGGTGTGTTCAAGACACTTTCACCATGTTACCTGTGTTCCTTCATATGCCAGGCAGCAGGCATACATTATACTGTGTTTTCCCTTGGCCACATTACTGCTAATGTTGCCCTTGGTTATTACTTCTGAGGCCATGTTGATTATACATCTCTTATCCTCTGTTCTGTTAAGTGTGTGATTAAGCTTATTTGGTTGAGAGAATCACTAAATATGAAGAACATAAGAAAAAAAAAATCTCATTATGTCATATAAGCTCCTGTCAGTGTCTCTCTAACTTGCACAATGACAGCCTTAATTGGCTGTAGTAAATTTGATGTCATGTAAATTACTGCTAGATCTCTGATGGGCAAGGGTAGGTACCTGCCTTTCTCTAGCAGGACTTTGGCCCAATGAGTACATACATATATACGTATATACATATATTTAGTGTGGGATAGTGGAAAAATGGTCCGTGACCCTGCTTTTAGGCCTACTTGCTCACACTGATAAGATTTCTTTATTTCTTAATATATAAAGGATGCAGAAAGATGGGTTTGGAGGTTCTTCTGTCATCCTTGAGGGATATCTTGATCTTTGCCTCTACAGTTTTCTGAAAGGTTCCCTGCCGCTTCCTTAGGGAGGCCCAAAGAAAACAGCACAGCGGTGTCGTGTCGTGGTCTTCTCACATGGTTGAAACAGTCACAGTTTTGCCTTCTCTTTCCCATGCCTTTCTTTTCCTCTCTTCCTTTTTCCTCTAAAATCTGTCAGTTAAGGCCCGAATTTGGCTTGTCTGCTGATGATGCTTTGGAGCTGCCGTTCAAGACATTACGTACACTCCTTTAGTGTCTGCATGCAAAATGATACAGTGTTCAGTTTAAATGAAAGAAGTATCTCATAGGTGATACTGAAAAAAAAGAATGTAAAAATTGCAGGTGCACGCTAAAAAACATTTGTTGGGAGTACACTTCGTATAGATAACAACAATTTTAGAGGACATGTCATTTTCATATGTTACTTTAACATTTCGTTCCAAGTTACTGTAGCTTTAGAAATGGCTTTTTTTTTCTTTCTTTCTTTTTTTTTTTGCTTTTCACTTGTCTTCTGCAAATTATCTTAGTTTGTGCTACTGAAATATGTGACATAGATGTCTCAACAAAGACGTTCCACTCCTTGCACCTTTTCAGGCAAGCGTAGCAAGGATACCAGTTAAAGAAGATTAACAAGTTACGACGTGTGCACCAAATGTTATACTTGTTGCCTCTAAATTATGCCACGTACACGAATCACTTCAAAAAGACTTTCTTTGGTTTTGCTCTCTGCCTCTGAGGAGGCCAGTGTTTCCTTTCCTTCTTTTCACGACCCTGAGGCTGAGGTGTGCGCTCCTACCCGCACGGCAGGGCCAGGTCCCAGCTGTGGGCCCGGGAAGGGCTGGGGATCCAGGGAAGGGCTGGGGATCCAGGATCAGCCCGCAGGTCGCTCTCGCCCTGTGCTGCCCCGGGAGGGCTGGCGGGACGTGCAGCTCCGGGCACCTCCAGCAGCAGGGAGGCTCTTCCCTCCAGAGGGCTCCGCTGCTCTTAAAAATAAGTTCGGTTTCAGTTCTTGTTCCTTTGCATTGAAGGCTTTTGTCATTCCTGCGATGAATTTTGCGTTTTGGTGTCTGTATCGTTCCTGTGAGGAATGTCCCTTTGTTTGGTGTTCCCTTCTCAAGGATTGCTTATCTTTTTCACTTTGTTTCTGCAATGAAGCTTTGAAAGTGGTGGTGTTCAAAGGCTGTCTTTTCAGCCAAAAGGGGCTACAAAGGTACAGTATTTGTGGTATATTGCATATACCTTCCATAAAATATAAATGCAATGTGAAGAATATAAATGACCTGTAATCATTAGATGGAACTGGCTCTATTGGTGTAATAATAATAACAAAACTAAAATGCAGCAAGCACAGTCAGTTTGATGAACTTGACCATCTGTTATTTTAGCTCTTCCTAGCAAACCTCTGTCTCAACCGAACCTAAGATGCCACAGACAAAAAAAAAAAAAAAAAAAAAAAAGTTGGTGTTTCACAGCAGCCAGAAAAAGGCAAGAAAAAAAGTGAAAATATTTTATACGAAATAATTGATTATTAGCTGGAGTAAGAACTGTATGCCCAAGTAGGCCCAAATTAAAATGGGTTTTACAGTAAAATCAGCTAACTTGAGGTTCAGACCTAAG